CACTTTTAAATCTATTTTTATACTATTTCCCATGTTAGAAAAAAATTATGAAAAATACTGTGAAATCAGCTCTTCAAGCACTTTTCAATAAAGGAATAAAAAATGTGCATGCAAATTTTCCATTAAGGTGTTTTCTTAAAGCTTTCATTGATCGATTAAGTGCAGACCTATGGAGTGAAAACGCATGCAAACTGCGATCTATAAATCTGACGCAAATGAAATACGCACAACTGCCAGTGGCGTGGCGTGAATGATCGATTATCGATGTTTCCCCATTGAAATATATGGTAAAGAATCGATTTTTAAGGTGTCCCCAACGTACATCCTGTTCATCGATCCTTTTCCATAGATTTAAATGGCAGATCAATCGATTTATCGCAAAGCACGCCACGCTACTGACAACTGCGAAGGATGACGTCAATCACCATGAGGTGAAGAGACAAAGATTTGGATTACATTTTGCAACAAGGAACTGGTCCATTTTAAAAACAACATAAATTCCATTGGTTGCCCTATGCAGATATGCACTTTTACAGGAGAGCTAGATATAGTGGTCCCTTATTGCAAAATGTAATCCATTTGATACTCTTTGTGTTTTTCCGACTAGTCGGCGACGGTAAAGGATTGAGGTCACATGCATGTGAACTTGATCCGCTGGTGGGCGGTTAAGGGGAATTTTTAACACCTATAAAATGTTAAACCTTGAGGAAAACCGCGTCCATCGCTTTATAACACGGGTAAGAGACTGGACAGAATGTGGCATCAAGCAAGAGTTATGCAGGTTATAGTATTGATTTAGGAATACACGTGCAATCTTGAGAGGGGTGGATTTTTCCTTGAAGACTAATGAATCTGATGTTGCACACGAAGGTTACACCAATTACACCATAGACCTTGTCCATACAAGAAAAAGTTCGCGGAACTTTCAGCTGTGCGTCGTTTTTCGCCCCTTTCCTGTGCGCAGGCAGAATTAGTTAGAACTCAGCTGTGACTCATTCCACCTAAATTCTGGAAAGTGTGGACAAGACCTAATTGAGTAGAATTCTTTCGACTGAAATCGCACGAAATGTACGTTTGCACGTATCATATATGAACTTCATTTTGCAACCAGGAACTACATTTTCTGGCCTATTCGTAAAGCACTTATGTACATAGGGAAACTAATGGTATTCGTACGTTGTTTCTAAACTGAGCCAGAAATTGTAGTGCCGCATTGCAAAATTTAGTCGAAAAATTTCCAAAATTCACTTCTTAACGCACAAATTTGATATTCTGAACAGACGAATCGCAGAAAACTGTAGGGTGCATACACTGACAAAAAAATATATAAACTTTTCGCTGAGAAATATTTCTCCTCGAATCAAAAATGATGCTGCTTAAAATGAGAAAATTTTTGGTTTATATATAGGGTTTTTTTTTCTTGTAGGAAAAAGAAAAAAAATGGAAAGAATCCAGGAATAGGAATCCAGCTTGCATCAAGGTAAAATAATAATTATAGGGGGCAAATTCAAGAACCAGTATGTTCGAACCAATCACTTTTTTTTACAACTGGAGAATGTAACGGCTTCGACAACAGGCTTCTGGACCATTATTCGATTCAGTTCTTACCTGCGGGCTGATTATTGAAATTAATAAACAAGGCGATAGACAAAGAAGACATGGAGCTATCCTACTGGTTGAATGGGTGGTTCCTACAGACTAGGGGAGAAAATGATGGATTAATAGACCTTCGTGAGTTGCCGTTACTTAGTCTATTACCGACCTACTTTGTCCATTGCAGCCACCCGCTTCCACTAATGGGATGCCTCCATGTTTCTTTTGTCTCCTTTGTCTATAGCTTTGTCTATCAATTTCAATAATCCTGATCCTGCCGTCTGATTCTTAAAATGGATAGACAAAGCGATAGACAAAAAAGTCATAGTGAATATGGAGCTATCCTATTGGTTCAAATGGGTGGTTCCAATAGACTCAGGGAGAAAATGATGGACTAACTATCAGGTCTCTCGTGAGTCGCCATTACTTAGTCTATCACCGATCTCCTTTGTCCATTGCAGCCACCCGCTTCCACCAATGAGATCCCTCCATATCTCTTTTGTCTTCTTTATCTATAGCTTTGTCTACATCAATTTCAATAATCAGCCTGCAGCTGCTTTTACATCCTTAACTTTCATCTTCATCCCAATCCTCCTCACCGGGTAGACTGCTAACGACGAGATGAGGTTAATGAGGTTGGAGATTATACCCGCGACGACTTTTGCGAAATATTAATTCGCATCCTTCCGCGGCTCCCGAACCCGAGGCCACCAAATTCGGTAGCGAGCGAAACGAAGAGTGGACACATCGCCCGATTCTTGGTTCTGTGCCACCGTTCGGGTCGTTCCGATGTTTCGAGGCCAGACCGTCGATACTTCGGTCGTTTCGGAAGTCAAGACTTTTCATTTCGATAGAGGTCACCTCGGATATTCAAGGTTGTCAAGTTGGTACCCGAGACTCTACTATACAAACCTCGCACTGAGAATCTAAGAGATGTTCCGAGAGGCTTTTCTCAACGGAAAAATTGCGATGTATTGCTATTTTATCGGCGATAAAATAGCTAGGATCGTTAACATCTGAGCGATTATCCTCGATCTTATTGCCCGGCTATTTATCGCAATATTATCAAAATAAAATAACGATAAATGGCGAATTAATTTCGAATTTATCGACACAAATAGGTCGCGATTTTACCTACCCAAAAATTGCTATGTATATTGATTTAATCGCCATACATAGCAATTTTTAATTCGATAATAACGCGATTAATTGCCACTGATATAATCGCGATAACCAACCGATAAAACAGCTATTTATCACGATCACTGCTGCTTGGGTTAATCGATTGAGGCAAAAATTGAATTCAAAGGTCAACGTTCTTTTCAGCCTAATTGTGATTTATGAGAATCTATTTGAGCAAAGCAAATAAATTCGCCTCATGATGACTGATGAATGTTGGGGTGAGCACTTTGGTAGGCGAATTTTTATAAATTAGGTTAGATTGCTAAACCAATAGCTCGACTCTTTGGTACTCAACAGTGGCGTGACATGCTTTGCGATTCATCGATTGATCGCTCATTTCAACATTTGGAAAAGGATCGATAAAAGGGTGTTGTATGGGGGTGTGTCAGGAGAAAATTCAACGATTTCAACATACTAGGAAAGGTGACAGTGACCTCTTGAGAATTTTTGAGGGGCTGTAATATTATTGCGTATTTTTTTCCTATTTTGTAGTGGCAAATCATTGAAATGCCCTACAACTAATGTATTTTCGAGGTAAAACTATAAAATTTTAGTCGAGTTCCCTAAAAAATTGTCCTCATTAGGATGCTGCGATCAAACCGTGCATCATATTTACAGTTAATACTAAAAGATGACGAGATTTTCCAAGAGGTATGAAAGTGAAAGTTAAATCGATATGAGTTCCTTCTTCGCCGAAAGAAGTACACAGGAATAAAAAACACATTGGATCTGGAGTCCAGACTCTTAAAAACAACGACAAGAAAAAATACTCTTGATTCAATCAGATTTAAGCTTAAATCAAGAACCCAGCCTCTTTTGAGTGGATTTCCTTTTGATTTAAGCTTAAACCTGATTGAATCAAGAGTATTTTTTCTTGTCAATGTTTTCAAGAGTCTGGACTTTAGATCCGATGTGTTTTTTTCCAGTGTATGATTGGGGATAAGAGTGGCAACAGCGCTTTAAAAGGTTAAAGGCACGATAGCACGTCATCGACTTTTGTAGTAAATCACTGGACAAGCAACGGATTATTTTTAGACACTTTTCGCTGTGTACATACTTTGGAATCACGGAATCCGAATAAGCGGCTTACGGCGGTCAGTTTCTAATTGAAAAGTCTGCGTGCAGAAACTCAGCACTGGCGAGTTCTTATAAAGCAGCAAACGGCTCAATTGCATTTCTACCATCCCATGTCGCGTATGATTCCTGGTCTTATCATGTTTGCTCCTGGAAACGGATTCTGACCAGTGGCGTGGTGTGAACTGCGATGTATCGATTGTCATGCCATTTAAACCTATGGTAAAGAATCGATTATTAAGGTGTTCGCTGCGAACACCCTGTTTATCGATCCTTTTCCGTAGGTTTAAATGGCATAAAAATCGATATATCGCAAAGCACGCCACGCCACTGATTCTGACATCCGTTGTGGAGATTTCTTTAAAAGCTGGATGCAATTATGTTCTCTGGCTGTCGATATTGGAAACAAGATAGGTAGTAAGCCGATCGAAAAATGAAGGGCAGGTCTCTTTATTAATAAATCACATGTGTCAGAAAAATTGGGTTCGTTATCATGAAGAAACAGATTCCCTCTACGGCTCCTGGTTAAGCTGAGAAAAATACTTACATCGAAGACGCGGTAAGTAAAATTTTACGCGAGATAGCAAAAATGTTTTGGTATTGCAGTAAAAGTCAACAATTAAACCGGGCAGAAAAAGTTACAAAGTCAAGGGAAATTTTCGTTATCATGTATAAAAGTTCAATTTGAGTGAATAATCGCTTTCTTCACGTCATGTGTATTGTTACTTGAATACTTTATTATATATATACAAAATGCCATTAAAAATAATGAACAATGATGAATTTGTAGGCACATTTTTAATGCTTTAAGAGCTGATTTCGCAGTTTTTTTCATGATTTTTTTCTGATATGGGAAATAGTATAAAATAGATCTGAACGTGCGAAAAAGCAACGCCTAATGACGTCATCTGGCGGCATTCCCCATTTAACGACGTGTATTGTAGCAGATTACATAATTTTTCCATATATTTCCCAATAACTCTTCAAGTTATGAACGAAGGGGATCCTCGTGTTCAGATCTTTTAGTAGATTTCACTTAAACACGAAATTCACCAAAATTAAGACACTTGCAATTTCTCCATTAATATTGTTCATCGAGAATATATTATTTTACTTGATATGAAAGACTGTGGTATGAACATGCAACTTACCTTGAAAAATTCGACCCATTCAAGTTGGTCGTGGTTGACGGGTCCTCCGCATTCGGAGGGAACGCTTTGCGGTGGCAAGTAACAGTGCAAATTTTGCAGATCACTAACTAGTTGATACTGAAACAGAAAAGAAAGCATAAAATTAAACAGATATAAACGTGAAATAGACCTTAAAAAGTGTGTTGGCATGCAAATAAGTTATTTGTTTATGCCTCCGTCGCATTATGATTCCATTCTTGGTCAATACTTTCTCGTCAATTCGTGGATTGGCATTAAATAAGGAATAGCAAAAAGCTATAATTTTGTGGATATAGCGGGCTGATAATTTCAATTGATAGACAAATCAATAGACATAAAAGACAGGGACATCGGAGCGATCCTGTAGGTGAAAGCGGACGGTTACAAATAGCAATAGACATAGGAGGTAAGTAATAAGCTAAGTAACGGCAACCGACAAAGGGACCCTACAGTTTGTCCATCATTTTCCCCCATAGTCTGTAAAGAACCGACCGTTTCAACCAATAGAATCGTTCTATACTTCCTATGTCCTCTTGATCTATGGCTTTGTCTATCAATATCAATAATCAGCCCGCAGGCAGTTTAATTTTGTCCTTTAAATAAGTCTGCTCTCTTTGATTTTTGGAAATATGACACTGGAAGCGGCTGTTGGGAGAGTGTTCAGCATCCTCTGGAGATTGGTCCGCGTAGCGGCTAGGGGTCGCACCCCCGATACTTAACTAAATACGCTGAAGGGCCATTATACAAAAATAAACAGTACGACCCTCCCCCCTCCCTATTTAGGACGTAAGATCAAACTCTGAAGTCATTTTTGAAGGTTGACCCCACACAGACGTGGAGACTTAAACGAAAGGATATGAAAACGTAAGATCAAACTCTGAAGTCGTTTTTCAAAGAGTTGACCCCGCAAAGCCGTGGAGACTTAAACGAAAGGATATGAAAAAGAGAGATGATATAGAGACGGAAATAGGCAGGAGTAGAGGCGAAATGCAAGTGGACAGAGGAGAGGAAAGGGTGAAAACAAAAAAAATGAGTACACCGCTAGTAATTATAAAAAGTGATTAACGTTCAACTAGAACATAGGGGAACTTGTATCACTGGACAAGCAGCAGACGCACAATGAGTTGCGGATGCAGAGGATACGACTCACGGTGGCAGTTTGGAAAATAATGCTTGTTACACGCAAGATATATAGATTAATGATTTGACTTTCGGGTGGCAAAACTGCCTAAAAATCACGTCACACACGTCAAAAAATCCCCATTTTAATTCATAATTTTAGGTATCCACACATTATGCTTTTTCATATTTTCTGCATCCACAAGCACTCATTTCTCGGTTGTTTGCAAACATTTTTCACAAGTATGATTTAATATTTTATGACGTTTCACAGTGTTTTTTGGTAGTTTGAGGGGGACTCTTTTTTCAGAGATATTTTGGAGCGTACGGGAAATTTTTCCTTTCGATGTTGAAAAGTTGAAAAGGCACTATAATCGGCCAGCAAGATGTAAATGGTCGGCAAAGACGAAAAATTCATGCCCCCTTGATTTTTCCGCGGATATCAATATGAAGCGCGGAGTTTTTATTCATTTGAATTTTATTAGGATACCACTATTCGTGCTCCTAAAAGCGCAGGTTGCCTATTCCACCAGATGTAGGCGAACCTGCGTCTGTGAAAATGAGTGTGAAACCATGTTCTAGTTATTTGTCTTCCGTACGGGTTGCTTTTGCTGCCTATTTTGGTTTACGGAGTTTATATACATAGCTACATAGCTCTGTGTGTAACACGCTTACACGTGTTTACATAGCTCTTTTGCGGACGACAATGGGAAATTTGAATTTACTGCTCATACACTGGAAAAAAAAACACATTTTATCTAGAGTCCAGACTCTTGAAAACATTGACAGGAAAAAATACTCTTGATTCAATCAGATTTAAGCTTAAATCAAAAGGGAATCCGCTAAAATTAAGAGGCTTCTTTCTTGATTTAAGCAAAAATCCGATTGAATCAAGAATATTTTTTCTTGTCGATGTTTTTAAGAGTCTGGACTCTAAATCCAATGTGTTTTTTTCCCAGTGTAATATTACACACAACACACGTTTATTTTTCAGATATATATAAATTCAAAGATGTTTTGTATTGTTAAACGTGTTAATTATTTTGCATTAAATTATGATAGCAAAACGTGTAGTGCTTAATTTTTTACCCCACCTAGTGGTCCATTATTTCTTTCTTCCAAATAATGAGCAGGAATGACCCCACTGTACCGAGCTGAATCGTATCAGCGTTAGGACAAGATGCAGAAATCAATCTTGTAATTAATGAAATTTAATTATCCGGACGATAACTATGTCCGGGGGGAATCCAGGGGGGAGTGGCAGGAGGCGGGACGCCCGGTCATCACCGCGAGGTTCTCGCCCTTGGGTGTACTTGCCAAATTTCACCATAAATCGAATGAAAAACACGTTAGAATTACATATAGGAGCTAAATTTGGCATGAAATCACAGAAAACGTACGATACTATGTATGAGACGCGCTGATTTTATCCTGGTTACTCATCATAGGCGCAGACAAGAGGCAGGGTTCATCATCGTGTCTGGCTGGAGGAAAGATGCAGGGAAAATAATGATGGCTAGAGTTCGGGCCATTGTTTATAATTACCTAATTCTCAATTCAGATGCAATTAAATAGACGTGTATACGCTAGAAAAAAATATTTTCAAATGGATTAAATAAAAATTAACTAAGAAACACGCGAACCTTCTGTGCATGGTTCCTGTAGATTTAATTGGAGGTATTTAATTCAGAGGTGCTCCGTCTATTTTGACTTTTTGCAAATACGGGGCGCTAAGGGCAATGTGAACACACATTAAAGGGCTCATCTCAAAATGGAATATTTCTATTAAATTTATATCCGTCCATTTCATATTCGCATAATCTCTTTTCGCATTAATATATACCCAAATATTCCTCTTATTAGCTAGAATGTAATAAATCTTCAAATTCCCTGACTTTGATAGCTTTTCTAATCCCTGGACCTTCCCTGACCACCGAACAAAATGTCCACTTTTTTTTCTTTTTGAAAAACGCTGACTTCCGCTAAACTTCGGGCACAATTTGATTGTTCAGAGATCAAATTATGGGAAAAGGTATTCAGTGGCTGGTGAAAAAATGACACGTATTTAAATAACCTGAAACGGTATACAGCTGGAAGATCTGTGATACATTTCAGAGATTAATAGACGTGTCCGAAGATTCCTGACTTTCCCCACAAATTCCCTGACTTTTCCCACGAATTCCCTGACGTTTCCCACGAATTCCCTGACTGTCTTAACGAAGTCCCCGACTTTTCCTACGAAGTCCCTGACTTTTTCAGCAAAGTTCCTGAATTTTCCCTTAAAGTTCCTGACTTTTCCACAAATTCCCTGACTTTTCTCACCAATTCCATGACTTTTTCCATGAATTCCTTGATTTTCCTGGTTTTTCAGGTCGCCAGCAACCCTGATTGATGTAAACTAGGCTCGTGCTTCATATTGTAGCTCCATCCTCGATACGTCCCGAAGATCCTGAGGTAGAAACGCCAAAATTACCAACAGTATTCCATCTAAATGCCTTCGGAACTCTTCAAATCAACGTCAGCGCGCGGGCCAACAATAAGTGGAAACGACTTCCAGTCCTGAGGATGGACCCACTTCTCTTCAGCTCTTCAGCCACTCATCAACATCTGCACCGCGTCCGATAAAACAGCAGCCGATAGGATTAACTCCGTAATTACACATCGCTACGTTCAAATCGTCGTCTCGTGGCGTCCGTCTCGAGTTTCACATGCAGTTACGACGAACAAATGTTGAAAAAGTCACGTATATAGCGTGCTTTGCGATACATCGATTGATCCGCCCCTTAAACCTATGGAAAAGAATCGATAGGCAGGGTGTTCGCAACGAATACCTCAACAATCGATTCTTTACCACAGCTTCAAAGGGGGAAATATCGATGACCGATTATCACGCCTGGCCGCTGCTGCCGTGGTAAGGAAGAACGCCGTATAAACATTCGGGAATTGCCAAATTTCCTGAATTAAAAATGTATTTACGACGACATTCATGCATATTCTTCCTTGAAATTTTCAGATATTTTAGATAAAATTGCGTGCAAAATTGTCTGAAAATTTTGGGAGGAAAATATTCACAATTTTCCGAATTAAGTCGGTTTTTATCGAAGAAAACTTGGCAACGTCTGAAGGCCCTTACGGCGTTTTTCCTTGGCACGGCAGACTGGTTGAAAAGTGCGTATATAATGCGTCCGCTGGAGGCGGCCAATCTCGATGTTGCCAAATTTAATAGGAAAATCGCGGAATGTAATGTATTTTAAGTTGGGTTGTTTCGACGGACGACATCATCGGCGAAGAATTAACGGACGCGGAAGATGGGGTATCCGCGGCTGATTCATTGATGACAAGCGATTTTACGACGGAGCCGGCTGTCTCCGGCGAGGTCTCTTGTCAAAACTCGCTAACAGCTTGTCATTGTTTCAGCGATGGGATTGTTGATGGCAGATGCCTCGCCGCTGATATCCGCCGATGCACCGGCTCGAAATTCCCGCTGCAACAGTCATCGCTAACGTTGTCAAACTTTGCCGTGCCGAGCGCTTCGAACTTTCGTTGAGCTTCAGGATAGAGCACACTGGAAAAGACACATTGGATCTAGAGTCCAGACTCTTGAAAACATTGACAAGAAAAAGGACTCTTGATTCAAGCAGATTTAAGCTTAAATCAAAAGGAAATCCGCTTAAATTAAGAGGCTTGGTTCTTGATGTAAGCTTACATCTGATTGAATCAAGAGTATTTTTTCTTGTCGATGTTTTTAAGAGTCTGGACTCTAGATCCAATGAGTTTTTTTTCCAGTGCACAAAAACATATCCCGAATGTACGAATAAATAGGGAGGCCATTGAAACATGGGTAAACAAGGCTAAAAACATTAAAAACACTAAAATGCAGGACGTTTCGAGCTGTTACCAGCTCATTTTCAGCTGCCAAAAACACAAAAATAAAAAAAATTGAGTGGCGACCAGACCCTAGGTGCTATCACGTAACCACC